TCCTGGCCGGGCCGCCGGCGGGCTCGCGGAAGCAGCTTGGGCAGTTTGCGGCGCGCGCGAAGCGGTGCAGGAGGGAGGCCACGGCCCTCGCCAAGGACCTCGGCTTCACTGAGTTTATCCGCGAGGCCTGACCTGAGGAGCGGCCCGCCCCAGCCGCTTCTTCTCTTGGCTGTCCGGCTGTTCGGCCTGGCGCCGCCGACGCTCCGCGCGCGTCGCTGGGACCCTCTCGGGGCGATCAGCGCGCGTCGCCCGAACTCCGCGCTGCGCTCTGCGCAGCGCCTCGCTCGCCCGTCGTCGCTCCGCCCGGCGGCCAGAGCCGCGCGCGCTATGAGTTAGCCAGCTAGCAATCTCTGTTCCGCTCAGCGGACGAACCGCGCGCGTCACTGCGACCCCCTCGGGGCGACCTGTGCGAGTCGCGAGGGCTCCGCATGGCGCTGCGCCCGCAACCTTGGACGTTGGAGTGCGCGGGCAAAGGACATGGAAAAAGGAGGAGAGGAAGCGGGCGCGATCCTCGCGCGGGGCGTGCCGACATGGGCGTCGCGGCGCGCGGGCGCTGCCGTCGAGGTTCCCAGGGAAGCCCCCCTGCAGAGGCTACGCCGCACAATTCGGCACACCTTCATACGGTTCGTTTCCCCATAGGGAGCGCCACCGAAGAAGATATTCATAATTGCGGTACTCACAACTGCATATGGTTGGGTCCTTCGCCAGGATAATTTTTTGTGGGTATTCTTGTTTTTTCGTCGAAAATCCCCCTGGGGACAGGCCCGACATAACCTTGTGCGGCACCGCCAGCCCCCAGTCCCCCCGGCAGGAGCTGGGCCTCCCAGAACGGAGGAGTTCGGGAATATGCCCCCAGGGGGGGGCTACTGTGCAGAGGCCTTGCAGCCGGCGCCGCCGACGCTGAAGGGGGACGACGACGACGACGACGACGACGACGACGACGACGACGACGACGACGACGGCCACGGCCACGGCCACGGCCACGACCACGGCCACGGCCACGGCCACGGCCACGGCCACGGCCACGGCCACGGCCACGGCGATGACGACGCGACACCGACGACGACGACGTTGACGCTCTGGAGTCGAAGGCTTCTCCAAGGGGGGGGGCTCCCCACTGGGGGGGTCACTCAGGGGTGCTAGTCGGAAGCGCCCCTATCGAGGAGAGACGAATCCCCCATCACACATCCCCGATCTCGGCCCATTTCGAGATCGAAACAAAAGAAAAAAAACAAACAACACATCCCCGATCTCGGCCCAAAGCTTGTTACCTGGCTGAAGCTCCACAGCGTCGGGGGTTGTGGTCGCCCTCCGAGGGCGCCGGACGGCTGAAGAGCGCGCGAAGACGGCCCAGGACGCCTCAAAGACTCCCCCTCGTGCTCCAACGAGCCATGCCCGCCTTCGGCGGTGCGCCGAGGGGGGGAGAGAGGGGGCAGGCCTTATCCGAAGGCGCCGGGGCTTCTCGGAGACCCCGGGCCTTCTGAGAAGCCGCCTCTGTTTTGGGAGAAGGCTTAAAGGGCTTATCAGAAGGCTGGAGGTCTTGTACGCCTTCTCAGAAGGCTCGCCCCCACTCCTTTCCCCGATGGGCGCGCCGCCGCCGACGACGACTACGACTGGGCAACGACGACCACGACAACCGATGACGACCGACGGCGACGACCAATGGCGACCGATGATGACGACGACCGACCACCGACCACCGACCACCGACCACCGACCGCCGCCGACGGACGACGGGCGACGGACGGACGGACGGGCGGGCGGACGGATGGGCGGACCGACCGACCGACGGACGGACGGACGGACGACGACGATGACGACGACTATGGGCGACACCTCGTCGCAGCTCCGGTCGTCGCTCTCGTCCTGCTCCTGGGCGCCCCCAGCGCCAGGTGGCCGCGGGCCAGGGGCCAGGGTCGAGCAGGCGCTGGCAGAGAGAGGGAGGGAGAGGGTGGAGGAAAAACAAGAGAGAGAGAGAGAGGGAGGGAGGGGGTGGAGGAGGGAAGAGTGGAGGAGGGAAGCGGCCAAGACCCCGAGGGGAGCACCGCTTTCGGCTCAGGGGGGGCTCGGGTTTTCGGGCCGGTCGTGGGCTCTTGGTCGGCGAGGCTGCTCGAAGCGGAGGGGCTCGCCGTGGGTAGGAAAACAACCCTTCGTGCCTCCTTCTGCCCTCCCTTGTCGGGTAGGACGATGGCTGACGAGAGATGGGAGGGGTGCATGGGGGGAGCAGGAGGGCGAGACATGGGGAAGGAGGGTGGTAGAGAGAGAGAGAGAGAGAGAAAGAGCTCGTCCTCCGCCGCCTCCTCCTCCCCCTCCCCCTCCTCCTCCTCCTCCTCCTCCTCCTCCTCCTCCTCCTCCTCCTCCTCCTCCTCTCCTCCTCCTCCTCCTCCTCCTCCTCCTCCTCCTCCTCCTCCTCCTCCTCCTCCTCCTCCTCCTCCTCCTCCTCCTCCTCCTCCCCCGGTGGGGGTAGGCGTGGAGCGCCCTCGAGCGGCGCAGGCCCAACGTCGCTCTCCCACCCCTGGCGCCTCCTGCGTTCCTGCCGCCGCACTTGCTCCAGTCTCTTCTGCTCCTCCTTGGGCGCCCCCCTCCAGCAGATGTCCCTCCACCTTCCCTCGCCGTTCCCCTTTCAGGATGGAACAAAACACACAGACACATGTTTTTGTCGATTCCCCAGAAGATATGGTAAAATATGGGAAGTGGGGGGGGAAGTCAAGCACCCAGAACATATGGGGCAATATGGGGAATCTTGAGATTTTGTGTGTATTTATTTGTGTGTCCTTGGGCCCCTTCACTCTTCCCTCTCGCCCCTCCTTCTCGCTCCCCCCTTTTCTCCTCCCGCTCCCACCTCCCAGCCTCCTGCTTCTCGCCCCGCCCATGCTGCTCTCTCCTTGGACGCCCCCCCGCTCGCCTTCCCCGCCGCGCTCCCTCTCCCTCTCGGGATCGGTTCTCTGCTGGAGGTCGTTCGCCCCTGCCCGTGGCGACCCAGGCCTGCCCCAGGAACGGTCAAGAGATCCCCCCAAAACGGCAACGTATTGATTCCTTCTCCTGGAGAGATCCCCGCAGGGTGCTTCGTGGCCCCGGAGGCGCGGAGGCAGCGCAGCTCGCGCGAGAGGTCGTGGCCCCGGCAGCGCGGACGCAGCTCCATTCACAGAGGATGGCGGCCCTGGGAGCGAGGATGCAACGTCATTTACATGGGATCCTGCCCCTGGGAGCGCGAAGCCTGGGTAACTTTTTACAAAACCCTGGGATCCTGGGATCCTGACCCTGGGAGCGCGAACCCTGGGAGCGCGAGCCCTTGGGTAGTTTTTTACAAGAGGATCGCGGCAGGGCTCGTGGCCTCGGGAACGTGACTCCCGCGTGAGCTGCCAGGCAACGCGGCCCTGGGCGCGTGCAGCCGGCACCATCTGCGCGAAGGATCCTGGCCCGAAGAGAGCGCGGACGCAGCGCCATTCAGAAGGGAATCGTGACCCTCTGGCGCGTCCACGTCCCATGGGACCGTTCCCTGGCACCCCTCCCCTGGGCTGGGGGGGGGGGGGGGGGGGGGGGTGAGGCGTTAGAGCCCCAAGATCGCCCAAGGTGGCTCCAGGAGGGCCTCTGAGACGCCAAGATGGCCTCCAAGATAGCTCGAGATAGCTCGAGATAGCTCAAGAGATAACGGTCGGCATACCTCCCCTGGGCACGTCGCGCGGTACGTCCCCTGGCACGTACCTGGCACGCCCGCCGGCCTGCTGCGTGGCGCGCCCTTCTCTGACACATTCCGTGGCGCGTCCCCACTGCATATCGCGCGACGCGTTTTTCTGGCACGTTCCTTTCAGGAGGGGAAAAAGCACACAGACACAATTAATCGCCGACTCCCAGAATGTGGGAAGTGGGGGGGGGAAGTGGGGGAGTGGGGGGGGAAGACAGAAACCCAGAAAATATTTGAAAATATGGGGAATATTTCAATTTGTGTGTATTTATTTGTGTGTCCCAGGGCCCCTCCATCCTTGAGAAGTCCATTGGCACGTCCGCTGGCGCGTTCCATGGCGTGTCCCCTGGCATGTCACTGTACGGCGCAGCACAGCGCAGAGAAGCACAACACAGCCCCTGGCACGGTAGCATCGCCATTGATATCTCCAGCATTGCCACTGCCCATCGCACGGTTTGGGTGCTTGGAAGCGTCCCCAGGTATCGCAGTTCTAATTCCCTTTCCGGGTTTGTGGGCCGATCATGCGTCACCATTTTTCCTTCAGAAGTACCGACCCTTTCCCCAGAGCCCGCTGTTCGTCTTGAGCTGTCTGCTTACGGCCCTGGAGCCCGGCGAGGGCTCACAGAGGTCGAGATCGAGGAACACCAGTCCGTCGTGTTTTCTTCAAGACGCCGCGGCGTCTGGCTTCAGCGCTCGGCGGCGACGATAAGGGCGAGTAGCCCAGGGGCGGGCATTACAGGCATTGGCCCGGGAGCCTCGCAGAAGACATGGAGCATCGGCGCCCACACACGCATGGCTCTCCCCCTGGGCTGTCCGCCCCCTGTCGCCGCCTCTGACAAGCGCCCCGCACACGTGGCACGACGAGAGTGCGGCCCCAGACCTCGCAGCGCGACCCGGCTAGCCAGAGGGCGGGACCGCAGATCGGGGGCGGCGAAGAGGGGGGTGATGACTGGGGGGGGGGTGGATATCATGGCGTGGGCCATGGTAGTTCCCCAGATTTCGTGGCGCCTCTTCTTAGTCCATTACGTTCCTGGCCCCCCCGCTGGGCCGCGCACATGCCGCCGGTCATGATTTGCACCCCCCCCTCTTGGACCCCCCCCTCTTGGCCGCTCCCGAGCAGGAGGCTCGCCGGCCGCCGGCGCCCTTTTCCTGACACAGGCCGCGGCGACACCGACAGCGAGTCCTGTTCAGAATGAACAGGAACTCTTGTTGGGCATTGTACCCATTCTTTCGGTACCCATTTCGGGCGTCCAAAGCAGGGGGGCTCGCCGGCCGCCGGCGCCCGTCGCCGCTGCGCCCGGCGCCCGACCGCCAGGCGAGGGGCGCCGGGGCCAACAAGGCCTACCAGGCGCCCGCCCGCTGCTCGCCGGCGCCGCTCGGCCCCCGGGCTCTCCTCCCGCCCCTCGGCGGCGAGCGAGGGCCTGGCATCGCTCGGACGTGTGCGTTTTTTTCGGGCGAAGAGAACTATGCTCAAGCAGCGGCGAAGCGTCCTGGCTCGCCTATAGCCCCACCAAGCAATGTTCTAAGAACCTTTTGTGGTTTCCACGAGATGTTCTTAGAACATTTCTGGCGGAGTCCGTCTTGTTTTATCACATCGGGCTTATGTTCTAAGAACATTGTTTTTGTTATGAGAACATTTTTTTGGTTCTAAGAACATTTCGTGGTATGATTATAGGAATGCCAGGACGGTCGGTCCCTGCTCAATATCCACAGGTACCGATCCTGGCAGGGCCCAGCCTTGACCCGGGATCGGTGCATCTGCCTTCCTGGCCAAGGTAGGAGGGCGTATGCACCGATCCTGGGCTCGGGGTGGCCCTGGCCAGAATCGGTGTATGTGCATAGTTCGTTTTCCTGTATTTTTTCTCGGCGAGAACCATCGAGGACCATTCTGGAGACACGGGGCCGAAGGATGCACGGGAAGTGGACGTCCGAGCGATGGCAAGAGGGGGGGGGAGTGGAGAGGAGCAGGCCCTCTCAGAAGCTGGCGGGACTTCCGAGACGGCCTCGCGCCTTCTGAGAAGCGTTCCGTGCTTTCGCGGGGGAGGGCCCAGAAAGCTTCTCGGAAGGCAGGGGGAGACTTCCGAGCCTTCCGCGAAGGCCCGCCCTTTTCTCACTTCCCCCCCCGGGTTCTCCGCCGACCGAAGAACAACATTCAGGAGGGAAAAAAGCACACAGACACAATTAATCGTCCATTCCCCAGAAAATATGGGAAAATATGGGAAGTGGGGGGAAGACAAAAAAACAGAAAATGTGGAAAAATATAAGGGAATCCTTTCATTTGTGTGTATTCATTTGTGTGTCCCAGGGCCCCTTCAACCATGCGGCACAAACGCAAATTTTCGACGGTCTGCGCGGATGTCTTGGGTCTGCGCTGGGCCCACCTGGCGGCGCCTCCGGCGCCGCCCTTGGCGCTCACCTCCTTCCCCTCTCTCCTATCGGGGGACCGCAAGACCCGAGAAAGCCAGAACTCGGGTTTGCCGACGTTTTTTTGACGAGCGCGTCCTGGATTTTGACGGTTCAGTTTTCGTGGGATGTCTGCAGCGGGAGTTCGCGTCAAATTTCAGATTGGGCCTCGTCATTTTTATGATGGCCCCGTCGGGCCAGCCCGAGTCCCCCGTACCAGAGTCTTACGTCTCCCCGATCCTACCGTCGGTGATTTTGCAACTGCTCAGTTTCATGTGTTGAAAGTTTCCAACACAGATCTTCGATTTCACGAGCTTCCCGTACATCTCCAGAAGCCGTTTCAGAATTCACGATTGAGGAATCGATGGGTCTTGAAGACACTACACAGAGTGCCTCCAGGCACGGCGGCGATGGATGACTCTCCGTCCGAAGTGATACTTGCTGAATGGCAAGTCTGGTTTGGCAAGTCGGTAACGACTATTGAAGCGCCAGTCAGGATTCGCTTTTCAGTACAGTCAACCCGAATAGTAAGGATGGGCAACCTTCCCAAGGGTACCCTTGCATGCTTGCCTCCTCGGTCCATCCTTGGCCAATTTCGTTGGCCGCGCCCCGCTCGAAAAACTTCGAGATGGGCGTCCAAGGCCCTTGCATCCTCATCGCGCGTCCTTGCTATACTGGTTGACTGTATTAGCGCTCGTGTCTCCTCCCTCTCTTCGGATGCAACTCCTGGGAGGTCAAATTCTGGTTTTGCCCTGGTCCGAAGTCTGGCTTCATCCCGTTTCATCCCGCTGAATTCGGTTTAATCCCGCTTAATTCCGCTTAATCCGATTTAATAATGCTTAGTCCGAGACCCACTCCGGCGTAACAGCTCCGAAATGGGACCTAATCCTCCTTCGTTTTTCCGACGAAAACCTCCCAGTAGTTGCCTCCTAACCTCTCCTTCTGAGTCTCCTTCACCCTCGCGCATCCTCCCTTTCTCCTGCCCCGCTCCCCTCTCGCTCACCTATCCGCCCCTTGCTCTCTCTCTGTTCCTCTGCACTCCTGCTTGAGGGGCCGCGCGTTATGCACCAGGGCCGAACCTAAACGCTGCTGTTCGTTTTCGTTGTGTCTTCGTTGTCCCTCGTTCTGTCTACAATCCGCCGCAAGACGGAAATCGAAACGAAAACGGCCCACGAGATCGCCCAAACGCCGTTTAGGTCCAGCCCTGTTCTGCACGTGGCACGCAAGGAATATATATATATATATATATGTATATATATATATATATTCCCAAAGGATGTATGGTCCAAGACGAACAGGCCGGGTGTCGAGGCTTTCGGGTATGCATGCTGATTGACCCACGGGCAACGAGGAGCGAACAGTCTTAGAAAGACTACTGCAATTGTTGTGGTCGCTTTCGTCGTCGTGGAGGTCATCGTCATCGGTATCCCCTCCTTTCCCCCTGATGTGTTTGCATGCGCCCCCATGCACGCTTCCAGTCCGAAGGATGGGCGCAGTTGCGCGATGAGACTCGTCGGCGGAATATGGATCAAACTGTCCGAGGACGGACGGAAACAGGAAGGCAGGGATCATTAAATACATTGAGTGAGAGAAACGTGCGATGAGATTGGAATATGTAATGGAATTTCTACTGGTGGACCAGGACCACCAGACCGCAAAGCTGCTCATGTGCGATCCCATTCTCCAGAGTGTGCTACAGCCAGTTTCATTGCAATCCTCGGTTGTCCCCAAGGCTTAGACGCCAACGACTGTGCCGCGAGTCTCAAGATATGCATGACCTTTATATATACACTGAAGCATGAGCAGGAGCCTCCGTGATGTATCCGTGGAGGCTCATTCGAAGAACATGGTGGACGCGTTGAAGACGCGATTGCTGGAGGTTCCGCTTGATTGAGCAATGATGGAGGAAAGGTGGGGGATTGGGGTTGACGGGAGAAGAAGGAGGATAAGGAAGATAAGGGGGACCAGCAGCAAAATAATGTGAAAGAGGACGACGGCATGCATGAGCACGAGCATATTTTTGGAGTAGGAGGACGACGGTGACGGCACGTAGGTATCAGTATGAGTGGGATGGCCACACCATTGAATGCTTGTTGGAATTTATATGGCGCGTCGGAAGCGCAAGCAGGCTATCTTACGACGCGTAGGCTCACTCGCGCGTCGGTTAGAGGACAACATTGAGATGTGCATATATCGGAGGTTGGGGGGGCAAGATCGAAGTGGAATGGAGAGCCCCCCACTCGGAAATCGGTTTCGGCTTCGTGTTCGCGTCGCGCGTGCAGGCCAGGCGAGGCGAAGCTGCGTGGGCGGGCGGAAGAAGTGAACCCTCCTCTGGCCACGGCGCCGTCGGACCAAAAGACGCCCCCCTCCCCGGTTGTCTGGCGGTTGCAGGAGGTGCCCCGCCGTGGTGTCCCGATGGTGTCCCGATGGTGTCCCGATGGTGTCCCGTGTTGTCCTGTGGTGTCCCGATGGTGTTTCGATGATGCTTTGGTGGTATCTTGGTGGTGTCCCGATGGTGTCTCAGTGGTGTCCCGATCGTGTCCCGATCGTGTCCCGATGGTCTCCCGATGGTGTGCTGTGGAGTCCCGAGGTGTCCCGCGGTGTCCCGATGCTGTCCTGGTGGTGTCTCGATGGTGTCCCGATGCTGTCCCGATAGTGTCTTGGGGGTGCCCCGACGATGTCCCGGTGGTGTCCCGATTGGTGTCCCGATTGGTGTCCCGATGGTGTCACGTTGGCGTCCCGGTGGTGTCCCGGTGGTTTCCCGGAGGTGTCCCATGTTGCCCCGACGGAGTTCCGATGGTGTCCCCGATGGGTTTTGCACCATCGTCACACTCGCCATCATGCGTTGTCACCAGCGTCGTCGTCACGAATCGTCGCCAACTCGTGAGCGCACCACGAGCATCGTCATCATCGCATTCATCGCAGCTGCCATCAATTGGTTCCTCGCCAGTTGGTTCCCCCCCCGACATACTCCTTATCACCCGAAGGGTGGCCGTATAGGTGTATACATGTGTTGTGTATATATATATATACATCGATATGTACATATGTAAATAGGCTTGGACCCCAAGCAGTGTGTCTTTGGCCGCACATTTTGTGCAACATCTGTATATATGTATATATATACATAAATATGGAGTAGCACATGCTGTGCAATCTATGTTGTTCAATATATGGTGAGCAACATACTTGGTGCAGTAAATGTTGTTGTATTTCTGAGGTGCAGCAGATGTTGTACAATACGGGTGGAGCACTCTAGGTGGTGCAATAGATGTATTGCAATCTGTGTTGTGCAATTTATTGTGTGCAATTGACTACCCTGCACCGCGCTTGACCACCTCCACTGCTCGCGCAAACATCCCACCCACCCACCCGCAATTTGGTTTGCAAAATCTCTTAAGACCGTGACGGTGGGTACCACATGGCACTTGACAACGACAGCGACGCCGGCGACGACAGCGACGACGACGACGACGACGCCGCCGACCACGACTACGACGACACCGACGACGTCTCCAACGATTTCGACGACGCCGACAACGACGACGACGACGACGACGACACCGACGACAACGTCGACGTCGCCGACGCCGACGACGATGACGATGACAACGACGACGACGATGACGACGCCGACGACGACGACGACACCGACGACGACGACGACGACGTCAACGACGCCGACGACGACGACGACGACGACGACGGCGGCGACGACGACGACGCCGACGTTGACGACGACGAAGACGACGACGACGACGCCGACGACGACGACGACGTCGACGTCGCCGACGCCGACGACGACGACGATGACAACGACGACGACGATGACGACGCCGACGACGACGGCGACGACACCGACGACGACGCCGACGTCAACGACGCCGACGACGACGACGACGACGGCGGCGACGACGACGACGCCGACGTTGACGACGACAACGACGACGACGACGCCGCCGAAAACGACTACGACGACACCGACGACGTCTCCAACGATTTCGACGACACCGACAACGACGACGTCGACGTTGCCGACGCCGACGACGACGTCGACGTCGCCGACGCCGACGACGACGACGACGATGACAACGACGACGACGATGACGACGCCGACGACGACGACGACACCGACGACGACGACGACGTCAACGACGCCGACGACGACGACGACGACGCCGACGACGACGGCGGCGACGACGACGACGCCGACGTTGACGACGGCGAAGACGACGACGACGCCGACGACGACGACGAAGACGACGACGTCGCCAACGAAGACGACGACGAGGGAGGAGGGAGGACGACGACGGCGACAACGACGACGACGACAACGACGACACCGACGAGGGTGGAGGGAGGACGGCGACGACGCGAACGACGAAAAAGGAGGAAGGACGGCGACCCCGACGACGACAACGACGAGGGAGGAGGGAAGACGACGACGACAACGACGACGAGGACGACGACGGCGACGACATAGGAGGGACGACGACGAGACGCCGACGACGGACGACGACGACGACGAGGGAGGAGGAGGAAGGACGACCACGGCGACAACGACGACGGAAACGATCAAGACGCCAAAGAGGACGACGACGACGAACACGAGGAAGGACAGAGGACGACGTAGGCGACGACGACGACGACGCGGGAGGAGTGAGGACGGCGATGACGACGACGACGCAAGAGCGCGCGCGCACGGTTTTGTTGAAAATCCGTGTTGCGAAACCGTGTGTGGTTTGCAGGTTTTTTGGGCACACGATTTTGAAATCCTTCCGAAGCCGATTGGGTTTGTAAGGATTTCGGCATACGTGCGCGACGACGCGCGCGTCTGCACTTCGTCCCGTTTTTTGCAGAGGATTCACGCGACGGCACACGCGCAAGGGCGTTCGACTGATTTCGACATGCGCGCGCGAAGCCCGTTTGGTAGTATTTTGTGAAATTATTGGGAAACCTATGGTTTTCTTAAGATTTCGCAAGAGCTCGCGCGTAAGCTTTTTTAGCAACTCAGTGCTGCGAAACCCTGTGCTTTTGTATGTTTGTTGGAAACTCGATTGCGCAATCCTTCCGACACCGAAGGTTTTTGAAGGATTTCGGCATGCGCGCGCGACGACGCGCGCGTTTGCACTTCGTCCCTTTTTTTCCAAGGGATTCGCGAACAAGTGTTATGTTAGAACCAAAGGTGTCCCCGCGTATCGTTTTTTTACAAAGGAACCTCAGAGGGGGCCGATCCCGGACCCTCTGGGATAGTGTAGATTCATAGTTAGGATAGACATGTGGTCAGAATCATATATGATTCCCATACTCCGAAGGGGGGGGGGGATAACGCCGGGTGTGTGTGTGTGTGTGTGTGGGGGGGGGGGGGGGGCAGTGTATATATATTAAAGAAACGAGAATATATGTTGTGCACTCTATGTGGTGCGACCTATCTTGTGCAATCTACGTGACGGTTGCAGCGTTGCGCGATATTGGTTGTGCAACATTTGTTGAGCAACTTGTAGTCTGTGAAGCTTACGTGGTGCAAGATATGCGGCGCAATGCATGTTGTATCACCTACGCGGTGCAAGTTATGCGGTGCAATAAATGCTAAATGCGAAGTTGCTGACTCCACTGTTCGCGCAAACGTCCCACCGACCCACCCGCAACTTGGTCTGCAAGACTCATGCGGCGGCGATTGCGATGAGTGCTTGGTGTTGGCTGGTGGACTTCCGCGGCCGCGCCAGTCCTTGCATGCACTCGCGCGCAGCGGCCAGCTAGTTTGGCGCGAGCGACGCGGCCGCGGTGGCGCTGACCGCTGGGCACATCCCAGCGGGCACTTCAGTGCGAGTCGGCAACCTGGGCGGGCGCAGTATCATGGCAACGTCGACAACGGTAGACACGATGATCATAGTAGCGATGCTGGCGGCGATGTTGACAACGACGACGGCGCGGCCAGGGCGGGCGCCGATGCTGATCACCGTCGACGATGACGGCGTCCTCGCGTCGGCGATGCAGGTTTTGGAAAGAATTCGACATGCGCGCGCGGCCGACGCGCGAGAGTGGCCTGCATGGTTTTTTTGACATGGATCGCGCCCCCTTCTCCCCCCGGGCACGCGCGCAAAAGGCGCGCGAATGATGTCGGCGTGCAGCGCCGGGGGCCCGCTTGGCATAATTCCATGAACATGTTTAACAACCGATCGTTTCTTTAGGACTTCGCAAGAGCGCGATCAAACTTTTTTGTTTTTGTTTTTTTGGAAACTGATGTTGCGAAGTCAAGTCCGAAGTCGCTTCGGACATTGATGTTGCGAAACTGATGTTGTTTGGGCATTCGGTTTTGACATCGTTACGAACCGTCGATGTTTGTAGGGTTTAAGCATGCGCGTGCACTTCGTCCCGTATTTTGCCCCCCCCCTCCCCAAAAAAAAAGGTTTTCGCGACGGCACGCGCGCAACGGCGATCAAACGATTTCGACACCCGCGCGCGAAGCCCGTTTGGCTTGATTCTATATATATATATATACAATCAATACAAACCCGGTACGAATTCATATTTAGGATGGACGTTGGGGCAAAGTCATATGTAAATTGTGATACGGAAAAGGGGGCGTAGAATCCGGGGGGGGAAGTCTATTTTCTTTCCCAGGAAAGAGAATTCGCTGTTACAAACGAGTTGGCAAATTCCACGCAGTTGCAAACATCCCACCCATCCACCCGCAACTTGGTGTGCAAAACCCGTACGGGGGCGATTGCGATGTGTGGTTGGCATTGGCTCTGCGGCCGCGCTAGCCCGCGCATGTTCACGCGCACAGCGGCCAGCTAGTTTGGCGCGACCGACGTTTTCGCGAAGGCGCTGACCGCTGGGCACTTCCCAGCGGGGTTTGCCGAAGGCTGTTCGGCATGTCCCGCCATTTTTGCTTGGGCTGTTTTTCGATGTGCTGGCGTCGACGACGGCGCCGCGATGCCGCGCTATGTGACCGCGGGGGGAGTCACTACTAACGCTCCCTACGCCAATTTTTAAAGCCCTTTATTCTTTTCCCTTGCAGAGTGCAGGGCATGGATCATGTGGGAGTGGATGTGCCCGCAGCTGTGATAGCTATTCGAACAGAAGCGCGCGCCGGCCGGGCGGGCGGGCCCGCTGCGCGCGCATGCGGATGCATTATATTCTACATGAAGTAGTTCCGCTGAACGGATTTACTTAGCCATGCATTCACCAGTTCAGACTGGGAGTCGAGTTTCTCGTGAGTTACTAGGAGAAGAAGATCACTAAGCATGACAACCCATCAATGTCAATATACGCTTGCCTGATTTGACGATGGGTAGGCAACGCATTCACATGTAACGCAATGAGTAGCAACCCAAAGCAATGCAAAGTAATGCAGGCCCAGAAGCGACGGGCACACGGCCACCAAACCGACGCGCAAGCTTAGAGCGATGGGGCGGCGACGGCGACCACGTAGCGGCCAGACCTTCGCGCACGCTCAGACGATGGGCGGGTTGGCGACGGTGCGACGACGGCGACCAAATCGCCGCCACACTGGCGCCTGGGCCAAGGCGACGGGCGGCGACGAGGCGGCGACGGCGATCACATAGCTGCCAGGCTGGTGCCCAGGCCCCGTTCTTTAGAGAAGAAGTACAAATATGTAAGTACAAGCTTTTGACTGATGGCGCTTTATGGGGAACTACATCATTCGATATTGGAAACCCGAAGTGGAAGAAGTTGCGTGGTACTTCGACCGCGCAACCACATGGCCCCACAAGGGGGCCTGCGGATCTGTAGAAGTATCGTCGCCCTACCCTGGCGGCCGCCGGCGCCCCATGGATTCGCAGAGGGGCGCCGCCTCACGGCCCAGCAGCCACGCCACTCGTTTTCCCATGTGTCGTCTCCCGTTTGCTGTCACATAGGGTATGGCCCCTCACATGTTTATGTTTCCCCGTTTGGTTTCCAGCATGCACTGTGCAGAGTAATGCTACCTGTAGTGCCCGATTGCGTTGTGTAGTGTACCCTGCCGCCTGGGTGTAACTAAGAGGGGGAGGCCACAGCGCTCTCTGCGCCTTGCGCGCCGTGTGCTAGCCGCCGCGACTGGAAGGCAAGGGCGCACAGGATGCAACAGCAGCGGAAGTAGTAGTCGAGTCTTGATGTTCCGCGGTCGCCTCACCAGCTTTCTCGGTCGCACGGCACGCATTGTTGCTTGAACTGTGTTTTTTTTGACGCTCGGTTTTTGGTCCGGTTTCGGCCCCCGGAAGTCGGTGCCTTGGTGTCGGTGGTTTTTTATATACAAAGGAGATGGAAACTTGGTCGGATGTCGCGGCCAGGCCGCGCAGCCGCGCGCGTGAAGCATGTGCAGTCCTCTCGCCAGCCTGCTCATGGGGCGAAACCCTGCAATTGCCGCCGTCCCGACCTGCGGCCGTCTCGACAGTGACGGCACACCTCCGAGTGCCCGCGCGCGCTTCGCGCGCTTCGCGCGCTGACGGGCGCTGCTTGGCTGTGAGCCGTCCAAGCGGCCCCCAGCGCCAACGGAAACCAAGACCTCAGTGGAAACGCTGCCAGGACGATCATAGACTGTCCTGGAGGTAATGATTCGCATCAACCAGGCGACACCCAGTGTCAATGAGGGTCTGGCGGTGGTGGAGGTTGACGAGGTTGGCGAGGGCATTGCGATCACGGCCCAGCAGGATGATGCGGGTGAATTATGTTCTAAGGGTACTTTTGCTTTGTCTCTCGGCCCAGCCTAGCCCTTAGTTGGGAGGAGTCTCGTTGTATGGCTTAGAGGGTGATAGGCCCTCTGGGGGGACCTCCTGGGACTCTCTTGGGCTCATCATCCTCCGCCCTGTGGGGGGAAGAAGGATGATTAGCAGGCAGAGGAGAGCAATAACGAGAGAGTGGGGTTGAGGATGGAAGAGAGCCCTCGTCCTCTTCATCCTCGCCCCTCTCCCGCTCCCTCTGGGGAGGATTGGAAGGAGGGGAAGGAGGGGGATCAGGAGGTGGAAGAGAAGAGTAACGAGAAGAGGAAGAGGAGGGAAGACGACGGAGGAGGACAATGATCGGGATGAGTCAACCCCTCTTTCTGCTGCCTCTCCTCCTCACCTCCCCTCCCTTCCCCTTCCTTCCCTTCTCCTGCTCGTCCTCATGTCCCTGTCCGCCGAATCCTCTTCCACCCCTCCTCGCCCCCCCGCTCATCCTTTTGCTCACCCGCCACCTCCTCCTCCTCCTCCTCCTGTGCATGCATCTCCCATTTTCCCGAATACGCATAATTAGCACGAAGTGGTCTCTCCGTGGGAGTCGCGGGTCGCCTATGACACGCGTCCGTGGATCAACAAAATCAGCGCCACGGGAAGGGATAGGATGGAAGGGTAGGATGACAGACGAGGCGCGATCGCACATAGCTTGCCCCCCCCCCCTCTCCTCCCCTTCCCCCCCCCTCCTCCCCAGCACACCCTCACCCGCCTTCGTCCCACCGCCATGCTCCCCCTCTCCCTGCTGTCATCCTCCCCCTCCTCGTCCCCCCTCGTCCGTCCTCCTCTTCCTCCTCATCCCCCCTTGCGAGGTCTCACTCCTCCTCCTCCTCCTCCTCCTCCTCTTCCTCCTCCTCCTCCTCCTCCTCCTCCTCCTCCTCCTCCTCCTCCTCCTCCTCCTCCTCCTCCCCCCGTCCCTTCCTCCCTTCCTGCCCCCTCCCTCCCTCCGTCCCCCCCCCCTTCTCCTCCCCCGTGCGAGGTCACGAAGGACTTCAAGGACGCGCTGGAGGACCGCACCAAGGCCCTCGAGCAGCAGGAGCCCCGCGGCAGCCCGGCGCGGCGCGTCGGCGCGCGCGGGCGAGTGGAGGCAGGGCGACGGCGTGGAGGGAGGGGGGCCGGGCAGGGAGGGCCGGTGGGTGGACGAAGAGTGTCCCTCGGGAGCCTCGAGACGGGGGTCAATGCAAACGGGGGTCAGCCAGAGCGCCCGATCTTGCAGGATCCTGCAGGGCCAGGGTCGCATTGACCCGGGTTTGGGTGCAGGATCTTGCAGGATCCTGCAGGATCCTTCGCATTGACCCGGGTTTGGGTGCAGGATTTTGCAGGAGTTTGCAGGATCTTGCAGGCCTGACTGACCCGGGTCTGGATTGACCCGGGTCAGGAGATCCCCGAGTCCCTCGGGAGCCTCGAGTCGGCTACACGTATCTGGACGCCCGAAATGGGTACCGAAAGAATGGGTACAATGCCCAACAACAATTCCTGTTCATTCTGAGCAGGACCCGCTGTCGGCGCCGCCGCGGCCTGTGTACATTTGAGACAGAAGGCCGCCTGCCCAACAGCGGCCGCTGTTGGTTTGGGACAACATTTGCTGTTGGGCATGGTACCCATTCTTTCGGTACCCATTTCGGGCGTCCAAAACGTAAGCGTGACCTTTCGCCAGAGTGACCTTTGGTGCGGGCGTAATGGGGTCCCCGGATCGCCGGGCGCGATGTGATACAGCAGGGGTCCTGAAGAGGGAGCCCTTTTCCTTGGGGAGGGGCTCCGTGTTCCTTAAAAGTGTTTCGCAGCTTGCCTCAGGTTTTCCTTAGGTTTTCGATGGGAAATCCAAGTTTCATTCATGGAAAAAGGGGGCCTCGTTCCTTATTTAGGGTTCCTTAGATCAACGCCCCCACTGTAGTGGCGTCTTGCGCGCCTGTGTTTGGCCCCCCCCCGCGGCCCCCCCAAAGGCCGCGCACCAAAGGTCACACTCTTACCCAGGGTCGTTCCTGTGCGCCGCCGATCGAGACGGGGGTCAAACGCAAACGGGGGTCAGCCAGGGCGCCGGATCCTGCAGGATCCCGCGAAGATCGGGGGTGGACAGAACCCCCAACAGTGACACGTCGATTAGTGAATTGTCCGTTTTCGGTTCTCGAGAGGGCGCCGTGGCCGTTATTTTCCAGGCTTGCGCCCGCCAGGTTTGGGCCTCAGGTCGTTTTCACTAAACCACGTTTTACTAAAGGGAGGTCTGTCCATCCCCGACTCTGGCTGACCCGGGTCAGCGAGCCGCTCGTGGCCGCGAGGCGGCCGCGCACATTGGCCGACCCGGGTCTGTTGCGAAGACCCGCGCTGCAGTTTTTTGTTGTCCTGCGTTGCAGTGTTTTGGTTTCCTGCTGACCCGGGTCTGGAGTGACCCGGGTCAGAAGATCCCCGGGTCCACGCCCATCGCGCCAAGCCAAGGCTACGGCGATGGCCCGCTCCCCCATGCAGCCCAAGGTTGACAGCGCTGCGCGCGAAGCAGCGCGCGCAGGTCGACATGTGGACACTTCGATTTGGGGCCTGTGGGGAGGGTGTCTGGGACACACGTTGTGCAAGGTGTTATCCAACATCGCGTGATACGGTCTTCGCGCCATCGGTGTGGACATTTGTTGTCCGGCCACCGGAGGGAACGGGGTAGTCGATGAAGCGCAGACATGATGGGGGCGCGTCGACTAGCCACGGATCCAGCTTCCGTTCCACATCGTCGCGCTCCGTCGCCAAGTCAAGCAGCCTTGGCCTCATGCTTCTGGTCACACCGTCTTCGATCCGTGGATTTGGCGCCCACGCGCCAGATCCACGGATGCGCGGTCCATGTTTCCGAGGCGGCGGGGAATGTATCAATAACCACCGCCTGTGGGATCGATTTCGCGGACTTCCACAGGCGGTTGATATGGATAGATTCGGGCACCTGGGCGGCAAATTGTATCCATATCCACCGACCGCTGGGGCACCAGGACGTCGGTTCCCAGGCGGTGGATCTGGATAAAGCCCCGGTTCGCACAAACGTCATGATGCAACATGTTACGTACGGTCGGACCGAGGTAGAAGATCGAGGTCAGTTCGGGGAGGGTACCCTAGTGTTCTCAGTGTTTGCTGGATGTTCTGGTGTATCCTGGGGGAGGGCACCCTCGAATGTTCTTCAGTTTGGGCCGGCGGAGGGTTTCATGTCCTTGAGGGATGTTCTTATTTCGTAGGTCCAACTGATGTTATGTACCAGCAATCGTGCACTGTGCTTAGGCTGGCATCATAGTACATGCACGCTCGAATCAGGCCCGCACAAGAACGGCCCTCCGTTCTAGATGCACCAGCGGGGGCCAGGAGGTTCAGGTCGCGTTTCTCCCTGTGGACGTGGACGGAGATCCAGTTAAGCTTGTCTCTGCAAGTTTGGTCTTCTGGGTTGCATGAAATGCCTGTGCTGACGCTCTGGCGAGTGCATCGGCCTCTTTGTCTTGTGAGCGGGCGCTTGTGAGTGGGTCCCCTCTTTGGACGCCGTCGCAGCACAGGTCCGACAGCGAGCTCGAAAGAAGGGCCGCTTGGGGTTCAGGGGACTGGTAGCCCGATGATGATACCCTCGCTGTGGACCCATGGGAGGTGGACGAATTGTCCAAGGCTCGGACCGCCTCGAAGTCTAGGCTGCCAGCCAGCACACATGGACACCCGTCCAGGAACGTTGTTGTGCAAGGCGTGACGTGGCTCAAGCCATTCTGGCTCAAGACCGCACAAGTCGCATCAAGCTATTTGCAGTATTGCACACATACGTGATAAGGTGAGCCCATGGTGTTCAAGGCTGTCTTCCACCTGCTACTGTTTGCCAACGCCGCTCTGTCACTGCAGGCCTTGACGCTGGAGAGCGCCGCAGATGAGGCGCTGCTCAGGCGTGCCAGTCATGGCGCCGCAGCTGACGAAGCCGGCAGTCGCAGTGGCATGGTAGACCTCCAGCACCTCATGGTCCAACATGCCGCGTCGGAGACCGAGCTCCATGCCCGTGCGGCCGAGACGTGGCGCAAGTATGCTAGCCAGCTGGCCAGTAGTGGTTGCAGCTATAAAGGCGGTTTGCTGCCCCAATGGCAACATCTGTTATTACACAGGGCACGGAGGCTTGAACACGACGGCCACAGTGGAGTATCGTGGGAATATCATCAAGACAGTCTTAACCCCCGACCCAGATGCTGCAGTCGACATGCCAGAAATCGTGACGTTTATGGGGGCTAGCACCGACGATGCTCCTGCAATGTTGATGGACGTACCTGCAGAATACCGCAGAACAGCGAACCCTGTGATGTTGAAGATGTTCTTCGTAGAGGACACTGATAACGTTACTGAGCAGTGCCCTCACGACAGTGAGCGCGTGGAGTCCGTGGGGAACAGCAGCGCGTCGTACAAGGTTGAGAACAACACGGTCGCAGTTTCAGCGCAAAGCCCAGACACGTTCTTGGGCATGGAATTCGATTTCGTCAGCGAGGCACCTGTGGGTCACACCCTGGCCTTCGAGATCCCCGTTGGGACGGAGATCGTCTGGGTGAGCCGTGAAGAGATGGTCGAGGTGCTCAACACGCAGGAGTTGCCGGCTTCCCTCGAGAGGCGCTTGGAGGCGCAGTTACGCAAAGCTTCTTTGGCCAAGGGGATGGATGTCGCGCTCACGCAGAAATCAGCCAGGCGGCGCAGGCGGCGCAGGGCTCCGTCGTGCACAGGTGAAGAGATTGGGCTCATGGCAGGAGGTGCCGCCGCCGTAGCCATCGGCTTCTTGGTCTGCGCGTTTACTTTCATAGGCTGCTTCACGGCGTCGCCGTTCTTGGTTACTATGGGCGGTATAATCGTGAAAAACGGTGCTTGCTCATGTTGGGCTAACGATGATACTGGGCGGACTTCCTGTGCGTTGCGGTGAGGGCGGTGAGAGTTGCGAGGGTGCGGCGGTCTGCAATTTCTGCTCCAACTGCAATTATAACTGTATAAACTGCTCCAACTGCGGTTGCCAGACACAGTGGACGTGTATAAATTTCGCCACCTGCAGATAGCAGGGGGGCACCGTTGCCGCTCGTAACGCAGGCAGTGGCGTACACCCGCATGTAGCTGGGAAGCCATGTAAGAAAAAAAGTGGCCTGGTCCCCGTTGGCAAATCAGTGTCCCTACAGGCGCGAGCCACATGTCTCAGCAGCAGCTGCATGCCCAGCTTCCCCAGTTCGGCTGAGCACTGAGGTTCTTAGGTGCTGGTGGTGAACTGGTGGGTGCAATGCACGGTCGTCGCCTGGTTCCCCTGTGTCCATTGGCCTCGTTTCCCTGCAAGGGGGTTGTCCTGGGTGCCTCGGTCTTTCACTCCTTGCAAAGCGTTGCCCGGGCTTCCTTGGTTCCCTGGTCTTGGTCCTTTGAGGTCCTTGGTTCCTTGGTCTTGGTTCCTTGGTCTTGGTTCCTTGGCTTCATTCATTCCTTGGTTCGTTGGTCTTGGTTCTTTGAGGTCGCCTGGTGCCCCTGTGTGTCTTGGTCACGCTTCCTTGCAACGGGGGGGGCCCTGGGCCCCTCAGTTTTCTCACTCCTTACGCAGCGTTGCCCGGGCTTCCCTGGTCCCTCGGTCTTGGCTCTCGGCTTTCTCGGCTCCTCGGCTCCTTGCTGGCCCCTCTTGGTTCCCTGGTTCCTCGGTCCCGTGGTCCCTGGGTCCCCTGGCTCCTTGGTTCCCTGCTTCTCCTCGATCCCTCGGTTCCTTGGCTCCCCGTCTCCTTGGTTTCTTGGCTCCTCGGTTCCTTTTGGGTCTCCGGGCCCCCTGGCTCCCTTCTCTCCTCGCTGCCTCGGCCGCGCGGCCCCTCGGCCTCTCGGCCTCCCTCGGGTCCCTCGGCTCCTGGACTCCCTGGCTCCCGGGCTCTCCCTGGTGTTCTCTTTTCTCCCACCCCTGAAGGCCGCGCGATGGGCTCCCTCCCAGACCAGAGCGCTGCTTCGCGGTCAGGGCTCAGTTCGAACCCTCCGATTTGATTCGACTTCGATTTCGATTTCGCTCCGACTCCGATGCGATTCGACTTGGGATTCCGATTCCTGTTCCGATTTCTTACCAGGCATTGTCGCCTGCCGATGTCCGCCGATTCGGCTTTTCCCGACTCGGCCGCCGATGTCCGCCGATCCGATTCACGTCGATCGCCGACCCGACTTGTCGATTCGAGTCTGGGCCCTCCTGGTCGCGGATGCTCGATCCGACGTGGCCTGGCCAGGAGGAGTAGCCGCGCTCCCCGCGCACCTCCCGGCGCGGCGCCCCCTGGCCGCAATGCCCCGGGGGCCGAGGACAGCCGCCGGAGGATGTACTCCGCCAGCTCAGGCCTCGCGCTGCGCCGCCCCGGCCTCCCCCAGAGAGCCGACGTTGAAAACAAAATTGCAGCATCGCGAGGAGGAAGAGGAGGAGGAGGAGGTGGAGGAAGAGGGAGGAGTACGAGGAGTATGGAGGAGGAGGAGGGGGAGGAGGAGGAGGAGGAGGAGGAGGAGGAGGAGGAGGAGGAGGAGGAGGAAGAGGAGTAGGAGGAGGAGGAGGAGGAGGCCCCAACGCACTGGTGGCCAGCAGCCTCGACGGCTCGTCTGACCTCGGCGCGCCAGCTCGCCACGAGGCCCTCGGGCAGAGGGCATCGCCGCCCAGCCAGATCGATCTGCGAGGGTGCCGGGGCCGAGGATTTTCAACGCCAGCATCTCAGGGTCCCCCCAAGGGTCGGGGGACGTCAGATGAGCGACGCAAAAAAACGGGGACGACTGCGCCGAAGTTCTCGGCGGGGAAAAGAAGCTTGTCCTGCCTCTTTCTCCTCCTTCCCTTCCCTCCTCCTACTGGCAGTAGCGGTAGCAGTATCAATGGCAGTAGTAGAACATCGTGGTGTTTAGCCTCACGGACCTCCTGCAGTACCTGCCCAAGGTGGAGCCCCTGGCGCTTGGCACGGCGTTCAAGCCGTACGCGCCCGGGGAGCCGCAGCGGGAGGGGCAGTGGATAGTGGCGGACGGCCTCACGTTGGCCGACCTGCCCGAGTTCAACTGGTGCGACCTCTACGCGCAGGTGGCGTGGGGGCTGAACGACCCCGAGTGGGCGGGCTACAGCAAGAAGACCAGAAACAAATTCAATCGCGAGAAGCCCACGCAGGCCAAGGCCGCCGTTTGTGAACTACGAGCAGCGCCACACATTGATCGTCGGCAGCCTTGTTGGCGGGGGGAGCGCTGGGGCCGTCCCGGGTGCTCCCTCCGCCGGCGGGCCGAGGGCGGACTTTGGGATGGCTGCTGCGGTGGTCGGCGGCGCCTGTGCGGGTGGGGGGCGCCCGCCGCCTCCGCCCACACCTGCGGCGCTGACCGACGTGGAGGTGCCGCCGTCGCCGCCGCCCGCGGGCCCCCCGCCGGACATCGAGTCCGAGCTGCGCGGCCCCGCGGTGGAGGGCTGCGGGCGGGGCGGGGATGTCGGCGCGCTCCCATCTCAGGCTCTCCCGGGAAAGACCGAGTGGCTCTGTGGCCTCGAGCCCCGTTCTGAGCGAGCAAGCTGCCCGCTTGCTCTGACTTCTCGCGCCGCCTCGGCGCTGCGTCAACTTTAGTGGCCGCTTCGGCGCGCCAGCTCGCGGCCCGCTGAGGCTCCACCTGTGCGTCCCTCGCGCGCCCCCGCTTTACTGAGAGATGCTGGGGCCGCTTGGTTTTGCGCCGCGCGATCGCTCTGCCCTCGAGCTTCAACTAAGTGACCAGACATCTTGGCTTGCCCCGGCCTGTTTTCTGCCGGGGCCTCCAGCGCTGCAGTGGTGGGGCGGCGTTGGGGTCGCCCCGCGCGCTGCGCTTCCCGCTGGAGGTAGGTTTACTGTGGGCCAGGTCTGCCTCGGCGCACCTGGGCAACCTCAGCGCGGCGTCGTCCG